AACGTGGGTGTAGTCTAAAGGCAGGTGGAAAGGGGGGGGGGGAGGGGGGAGAGAGAGCCATTCCTGTAAATATCACTATAAGGGAATCAGTACAGAATCAGTACATAGCAGAGTATATGAATGTTGATGATACAGGATGGAGAGCGAGGGAGGCGTGCTCTGAGCGTGGTAACACGTTATGGAGTCAGTGTGAGATGGAAGGAAACCACAACAGAGTCACATCCGTTTTTAGGTGATAACGTCTACAGGGTATGGACACCGGCAGAGGTCGTCCCCTGTGTCTGCGACTTGGTTTACACCGTATGTAACCCCTGGAAATAAAACCCCCCTCACCTATGTGCTTCCCTCTAGTCAGTTCAATACACTGAAAGGGTTTTGTTTATCTGTTCAATAAGTGCCGCTGAGCTCCGGACTTGCTGTACGCTCTGCGTGTGAAGTACAGAACTCGGCATCCTGCGTTACAGAGATGAGGAGAGGGGGAAGTGTTCTGTAGTTGTAGGCAGCCTAGGATGACGATGCTGCTCCTCCATAGATGCGCTGTCATCCTAGAGCCTAGAAAAAAGAACCCGATGCTGCCACCATCTAAGGACGGGTACGCTGTAATCAGTGTGGTGGGTGCTTAATTTCTATGTCTCAGTAGACCGCTCAGTGTTGAAGGAATGTCACTTCTAACAATCTGCAGACCCTCAAAATGTATCGGAAGGCTTCATCTAGAATGCTGCCCTTCAGGATGTGTACCATCAGCCATACTCGTGATGCTGTATACGCACACCCGGCACTGGAGGGGGTCTTCTTAGCTACTCAACCCTGGTCATCACCTGCAAATAGGAGCAACCCAGAGGACTATTGATCTTTTATCCCGCTGGCTGGTAGGCAGGCCCGGATTCCCCACAAGGCCACCGAGGCCTCAAGGCGGCAGGGCGCAGAGGGGCGGCAGCGGTGTCCTTGTGGGTAAGTTGCCCTCTCTACATTCAGTCCTGCTTTCCACAAGCCGAGCTAAATGTAGAGTGAGGAGGCCGATTGTTCGTTTACATGTGATTTTCGGATAGAAGTGACATTTCAGGACCGATCAGCTGTTCCAGGGCCGATCGGTTCTCCTGCATCAGCTGTCCCAGGGCAGATCAGTTCTCCTGCACATACCATCTGCGATGCCGATCTGCCCTGGAACAGCTGGAATTCTTCACTTTTTGCCGGTCACACATTCCACAGCCGAAAAACTGGGCCAGATTAGGTTAAAATGTGTGACCATGTCACCAGTCACACATTCTAACGCAGTCACAGACTTTGATAGAACACAGGCAGCCATGAAGATGGAGATTGAGGAGATGCTGGCGTTAGGGGCCATTCAGACGTCCCATGGTGCCAGCACAAACCTGCATATGTTTACTCAAGGACAATGGGAGTATGAATCCGAAGGTGCACGTTGACCCTACAGTGTTTAGGGTTCACTAGCTTCTTCCCTCATCCATGGCTACGATCGGCACCCTTAAGGGCCAACAGCAAAGTGCAAGAGGTGTGATGGTGGAGGGCTCTCCTTCATCACTGCATGTAAGTGTTGCAGTTTGGGAGCACTTTTAGGATTCAGGATTCCAGAACGAAGGAGAAGACCTTTTTAGGTACATTGATTACTGCTGAACCCAACTTAGGTTTTCCTAAGTGGCCAATAAACCTGCATGCTTCGAGGTAAGTACCTGAATTGGGTCCTGGGGATGTTGGACAGGCTTCAAGGTCCTCCAGCGATTGCCTCAAGCTGTCAAGCCTTCGCTCACATGTCCTCAGCATGGTCTCTACGTGTCCCAGGTTCTTACGCTCTGTGGTGGCCTTGCGAAGCTTCTCTGCTCCCTCCTTAATCCTTAGTTCCCGGCAGATCTCACTTCGCAGGCGCTCTCTCTCGTTTTCCAGCCCTGCCGGTTCTCCTTTGTCACCCTCCGCCCCGGGTAAGTCTCCTCCATCCAAACCCTGCAGCTCCTCATTCTGAGCACCCATGGAGCTCCTGTCTTCTCTGTCCATCTCTCGACTGTTCCAGGCCGCTCTCACCTCTCCATCCATTCCGTCTTCTCTCTTCTCAGTGCAGACATGAATCTGTGGGGAAGAATAAACTGGGTTAATGGGCGGGCCAGGCACACTAACTACCATGCAAATGGACTGATTATTACATTATTATTAGGGATGCACCCATTTCGGTATCAAGCACAAGTACCAATATTTTTTTTTTGGTACTTGCCAATACCGAGTACCGGTACCCCAATTATCAGGAAGTCGGCCGGTGGATCATGACCCGCTGTCCGGCTTCCACCACCAATCAGGAAGCCGGGTGGCACGTCATGACCCGGCTTCCTGATTAGCTAGCAAGCCGGCTTCACTTGTTGCTAGGCAGCCTGGCTTCCTGACCAATCGGGGAGGTGGCTCATTACGGGCCATGCTCCCTCGGCACTGCCGTTCAGAGGGAGACCTCCTTCTGATTGGAAGCCCCGGGATCGGAGGTAAGTATTGGAGCATTTGGGCAAGTACGAGTACTTGCCCAAATATTTGGTAGCGGCACTGATTCAGATACTAGTATCGGTATCGGAGCATTCCTAATTATTATTATATAATGTATCTATTGTTTATAATCATTTATGCAGCACCGTCATCTCCAATGTAATTGATGCTACTGTATAGACAGGCAGATATCTTCTTGATAATGATGAGCCTACAGATACACTATATTACCAAAAGTATTGGGACGCCTTTACACGCACATGAACTTTAATGGCATCCCAGTCTTAGTCCGTAGGGTTCAGTATTGGGTTGGCTCCGCCCTTTGCCGCTATAACAGCTCCGCCTCTTCTGGGAAGGCGTCCACAAGGTTTAGGAGTGTGTCTATGGGAATGTTGGACCATTTGTGAGGTCAGGTACTGATGTTGGGGGAGGGGCTCGCAGTCTCCGCTCTAATTCATCCCAAAGGTGTTCTATGGGGTTGAGGTCAGGACTCTGTGCGGCCAGTCACGTTCCTCCACCCCAAACTCCCCCATCCATGTCTTTATGGACCTTGCTTTGTGCACTGGTGCGCAGTCATGTTGGAACAGGAAGGGGCCGTCCCCAAACTCCTCCCCCATAATCCCCCCTCCCCCAAACTTTACACTTGGCACAATGCAGTCAGGCAAGTACCGTTCTCCTGGCAACCGCCAAACCCAGACACGCCCATCGGATTGCCAGACAGAGAAGCATGATTGGTCACTCCAGAGAACACGCCTCCTCTTCTCTAGAGTCCAGTGGCGGCGCGCGTTACACCACGGCATCCCACGCTTTGCATTGCACTTGGTGATGTGCGGCTTGGATGCAGCTGCTCGGCCATGGAAACCCATTCCATGAAGCTCTCTACGCACTGTTGTTGTGCCAATCTGAAGGCCACATGGAGTTTGGAGGTCTGTAGCTATTGACTCTGCAGACAGTTGGCGACTTCTGCGCACTGTGCGCTTCAGCATGCGCTGACCCCGCTCTGTCATGTGACGTGGCCGACCACTTCCTGGCTGAGTTGCTGTTGTTCCCAGTTGCTTCCACTTTGTTATAATACCAGTAACAGGTGACCGCGGAATATTTAGTAGCGAGGAAATGTCACGGAACACCTGAATCCAATGATTTGGAGGGGCCCAATACTTTCGGTAATATAGTGTATCTGCCTGACCTCCTAAACGCCAAAATCAGCAGCAGCTTGGCTCGCTCTCCGGCCAACGGACAGCAGCGTGGAGAGCATGGAAAGATCAGTCCAACTGCAATCAGAGAAAATCTCCATGCGTGATATCAGAAACGCTTTTTCTCATCCGCTCAGTTGCCACCCTAAACAGCCACATGGGACCATTAGATCCTCCGAGCCTTTTATTTTCAGCCTAAAATATGAAGAACTTCATAAATCAGACGTATCATAGCAGCCGGGACCGCTGTTTATACATAATACAGATCTATGGGACAAAAATAACACTGCAAAGTTGCACATGTCAGCAGACGCTTAAAATACAACGAAAATACAACATTGTGCAAAGACATTCAAAAGCAAAACCTGACTAAAAGCAAAACCAAAACCAAACCGTCAAATGTATCAGAAAAAAAAAATGGGCGAATCTCACAATGGAACCCAATACAATACTGTATCTGTAAAAAAATAAATCAAGGCAACTGGACTAGCTGTATTTTTCTTGAGGATGTTTCGCCGGTCATCCAACCTGGAAGGATGACCGACGAAACATCCTCAAGAAAAATACAGCTAGTCCAGTTGCCTTGATTTATTTTTTACAGATATCCCATGTGACCTGAATGAATGAGAACCTTCACAGACAACCCTATTCAGTCTTCTACCACCGATGTCAGTGAAGGAGTCTCTTTTCTCGATAGGTTAAAGCAGCTTTTCCAACCCTTTCTGTGGGCACCCTTAAAAAGTATGCACAATCTTGAGGCACCCAAGCCTGAAATGTAAGGGGGGACCCCACAAAAAAAAACACATGACAAAGTGCCCGGGAAGCTGGCTCCATGCCAGCGGAAGCACTGGTATCGATACTTGGTATCGGCGAGTACCGGAAGTAAAGTATCGGTTCTCATACTCGATACCGAAACGGTATCGGTGCATCCCCAGTTATAACTCTCCCCCTTACTCTATCCAAAACTAAGCTGCAGTTCAACTTGAAGTCCTGACTGGAGATCATTTTTGGCATGTTTGAATACATCCAATGCACTGACGCCGCTGTGAAGCTCTCATTGCCTTTTGTAGCTTGACACCCACACAAGCCAATTATTGCATGGCGTGCTTTGTGAGGCTTCGTACAGACTAGAAATAGGTCATACTCCATAACGTGAGCTGAGTGATACCATACAGAACAGTCTCCTAGGAGGGAGAAAATACAAAGTGATGCCGCCTGAGATCTAATTTGTCACTGAAAAGTCAAAAAGTTTAAGAAATGTAAAGCAAATTTAAGCCAGACAAGGCTAGTAGCCTGACAGCAGGACTCTATAGAAGCTGAACCTACTGATAATCTTCCAGAACCCAATGGGAGCCCTGAGGTGGACCCATTCCTAGCTTTACAATTGGTCAATGTGACCACCACACTGGACCACCACTACACGCATTGGTCCAGTGCGCCGCCATTTATTCTGCATGGCACTGCCACATGCATGCATAGCAGCACACCACACTAAACTGCATGGTGGGGTGCTGTTTTGCAAAAAATGTTCCATGTCTGGTCCCTTGAGTCAAATGAATGAGTTGCGTTGTTGCATCCCATTCATTTGAATGAGCTGGCTACGTACCATTGCCGGAGTAATGTGAATGGGTCCTAATGGTCCAATAGGAGGTGCTGGAGGCATGGTGGTGGGTAGACATTGAGTCAAATTAGGACGCATTCATATTACTATGGCAAAAGTTGAGTCAAATGAATGAGTTGTGTTAGGGAATTCCATTGATTTGAATTGGCTGGTGATGTACCATGGCCACAGTAATGCGAATGGGTCCTAATGATCCAATAGGGGGTGCTGGAGGCATGGTGGTGGGTAGGTAGACATTGAGTCAAGTGAATGAGTTGTGTTAGGGAATCCCATTCATTTGAATTGGCTGGTGATTTACCATGGCCACAGTAATGCGAATAGGTCCTAATGGTCCAATAGGGGGTGCTGGAGGCATGGTGGTGGGTAGGCATTGAGTCAAATTAATGAGTTGTGTCAGGGCATCCCATTCATTTGAATTGGCTGGCAACGTACCAGGGGACTATTAGACCCCCAGTGTCACCTTTCCACTGCGAAGAAGCTATGCAAGTGCAGATCGCAGCTGAGGATCCGGAAGTGATCCTGCCGGTAGCACACTTCCTGTCCAAGCGTGACAACGCTGCTCCTCCATAGGTACAGCGCAGTGACTGGGCCCTCGGCCGCTCTCCTGATTTGGGCCACCTCCCCCTCTCCTCATAGATGGAAGATCTTTTGTAGTTCACAGACTGTAGCTGGGAAATCTAATAACACTGTGAGATTTCTGTACAGTAGGAAATTATAGGGGCACTGGATTTCCGGCAGGATCAACAGGTATTATACTGTACTGGCAGAAAATTCGCAAAATAAGGCTGGCATGTCATATGGGTGCATGTGAAGCATAAAACTACTCTAGATAGGCAGAGCCAGCTGTCAGTCATGCAGCTGGGCGGATCCAGGCACAATTGTCGGGATCCGCTTCAGCTGCGGCGTCTCAGTATATAGGGAGCTACAGCTTGCGGTGTACTGGGCCTGGGGTGACGGGAGGACGCTAGTTTCTGTCCTCCCGTTACCCTAAGGAGAACTATGGGGGAAAAGCCTTAATCCCATAGTTCTTTAATAAGGCGGAATTATATATTTTATCCCTGATTACACAAGACCAGAGTTCTCCTTTAATGACGGGGGATATAGAGAATAAAGGATTTGATACAAATTGTATCTGTGGCCGGTCATCCTCCATGCAGCAGAATGGACATTCCAGGGATGTCTGAATATCATTTTTTTCCCCACAACAGATCCATCAATACGGAATGCTGGTTTTTTTTCCTACTTCCTGCTCTTTTGTGCTCACTTCTTGATAATGTCTAATCAGTCTGAGAAGGAAACACCCGGCACGACCTTCATAATTAAAGCTGAACTCCAGGAACAAAAACTTTCATTCAAATATAATTCCTCAATAGGATATAAATCCACATTATGTGCACCGAATGCCTCTGACAACCCAGATACTACCAGTGACATCATCACTGTGCTGTACACATGGCCTGTGCTAAAAGTTGCAGGCCCCACCCACTACCGGAAACTACAGGAGGGGGTGGAGACGAGACCAGTCACCCTGCGCAAGGAGAGGGAGCAGTAGTGAGCGGTCTTTATTACAGGAGGGGGCGGAGACAAGACCAGTCACCCTGCACAAGGAGAGGGAGCAGTAGTGAGAGGTCTTTATTACAGGAGGGGGCGGAGACAAGACCAGTCACCCTGCAAAAGAGCAGCAGTGAGCGGTCTTTATTACAGGAGGGGGCGGAGACAAGACCAGTCACCCTGCACAAGGAGAGGGAGCAGTAGTGAGCGGTCTTTATTACAGGAGCCTTCAAGTC